AATTATTACCTGATTATCATTGTTCGTTGTTTTACTGCAATACTTCATCAAGCAGTCATTCTAAAACGCTTTCTTTTGACTTCAAAAAATTATTTTTTTCTTTATTCATCAAAACCAAAAATTATTTCATTCTACAAGTAAAGTATACATCATATCGTAATTTTTTAGGGGGAAAATAAACCTAACACTGATAGGAGGGTAAAAATAGGGCCGCGAAGCGGCCCATTGATGGCGCGGAGCGCCTCCAGGGGGTTGGGCCGCGTAGCGGCCAGGGGGCGTAGCCCCCTAGTATAGACATACCGTCCGTTCCGGGTTCAAAGGCCGAAAATTCCGGCTGCTGGAGGCGTAGCTTCGATTGCTCCGGGTGCAGAGGCCGAAGCTATGCGGCTCCAACAGCCGGAATTTTCGGCTTTTGAGCCCGGAGCGGACGGTATGTCTATATAGCCCGTAATTGCGGCTCCCACGGCCGGAGTTTTTTTTTTCCAGTGCATTAAAAATAAGTCATATCTGTATTATATTTATCCCAAATGATAGGCAAACATATAAAAAGCAGAAAGAAGTGCCTCGGGTTGTTTTCCTCTGACCTACAAGACGCGTCAAAGGAAATCTCTGGAGTTGCATGTCCCGATCGCCCTCAATTTTAGGCGTGCGATCGAGTTGACGAAGTTGTTACATAAAATTCCGCGATTTAGCAGCACGATTCGGTGACGTCTCCTGCGCGAGAGCTGAGATAACGGCCGGAAGTGAGTTCAAACAAATAAATCGATTGTTCATGTGGTAGCGACCTCTCTTTTCTCGCAAACAGGGCAACGGGCTCAAAACATCTAATTTTGTTTGAAAACATTGCGGAAAGAGGCAGACGAACTGCCTAAAGGAAGAAGGGTACAGCTTTCAGAAGCTGAAAGGGACCGCTAGATGTTACTTACCTATTCTGCCATGCTAAGGTAGAACGCCCGAATGTTCTTTCGGGAGTTGCCAAATTTCCCTCGATAAAACATGTATTTTTGACGACATTAAATTTGTGCACATTTTTCTTCGAAATTTTCAGATATTTTAGATTGGATTGCGTACAAAATTGTGTGAAACTTTTGGAAGGAAATACTGAAAATTTGCCCAGTAAATTCGATTTTTATCGAAGGAAACTTGGCAACGTCCGAAGGCTCTTACGGTGCTCTTCCTTAGCACGGCAGTATTCTCGTCACCCGTAGTAAACGTCTCGTCGTTAAAATCAAAATTATTTGAAATTTGCTCCATAAATTTTTTCTCTTGGAAAAAGTTACGATTACACTTGCGACTTACTACGGGAAAAGTAAAACCTTATTTCATTAACTCAAAATCAAGTAATTTATATCCATTAATTAAACAGTATTTACATCATACATGGAGGGAAGGGGGGGACGTCAAACCATGTTGGATTCCTGAAGTTTCGAATTTGCACTTTGAAAAAGGTACTGTAGGGAACAAATCTGCTTAGAATTTCAAACAGGTCCAGGGTAAGAATCGTCAAAGTATATTCCAACTTCACCTCCTCTACTTGCTAAAAAATAAGGGACTAAATTGCTCCCATTTTATTCCTCGAAGACACGATAGAGAGTTTTCCGTCGAATTGTCAAGATCAGTTTTTTCGACCCAACTCAACTAAAATAGCTGCGATGACAACTGTATCTCCGTGGAATAAGGTCTCTTTTCCTGTGAGCGGTAACGGGACTTGACTCGTACCTAAGTAAAATATATTCCCTTGACCAATCTTAATAAAATTATTTATTTAGCCCTAAAATTGAAAACTGATGAGACATTGTGGTAATTATTACACCACGGATATTTATACGTGAATGAGCTGCCTGGATGCACAATTCATCAAAGATTCAAAATCAATCGATGAGGAACCATACTTAGCTTTATACTTACATACTTCACCATACTTTTTAATCTCCTCTGTCTGCAAGGGGTTATCAACCTGTTGGAGACATTTATTGATACTACTACAGTAAAATTTTATGCAGTCAAAACTATGTTACATGGTCACGAAGCTCATCTGTCCCTTATGTTCCAGCGCAGCAGATGCCATCATTTGAATTATACTTCTACAGAATAATTAAAAAATCCTAAATCCCGGTTTGTGCTGTTGCAAACTTACACTCTTGTTTTATTTCAACGACGGAGGAATCGCCACGTTTCCAATTCGTAAAAATGTTTCTTTGCCGACAAAAATATTTTATTGCCATTTTTGAAAAAAAATATTATTTCTTTATGAATTTCTTTTAGATGCTTACTTCTTAATCTTATTCTTTCCATTTGTATACGGCACTTATTTTGGTTCAAATTGAACGCTGACAGCTGGAATGGCGTGATCGAATACAGATGTATTTAATGTTACCGATAACTTGTCTAATTTCTGCCCTCAGGGACTGATGTACTGTCAGAGTGCACGAAAAACGCTAAACTCGTTCAGGAATGCGTGCCGGAAAATTTGGAGCTGAAAAAGAAAGTTTTCTCCAAGGTAGATGAGGTGGTCGGTCCAAACACAATTCTTGCCAGTTCAACCTCAACGTTTCTACCGTCCCAATTTTCTTCACACATCGTCCATAGGAATCAAGTCATAGTCGCTCACCCCGTATGTATCTCAACATTTTACTCCCAAAACTGACAGAATCAACAATTTCACTTATGCAGAACTTTTGTCTATATGCTCCAAATTTTGTGGAATGAGATAGTGTCATGTAAACTTTGTCATTGTCAAACTTTAAAACTTGAGCTAGTAATCTGAGCTGATTCGTTTCATTTTTTCTTCGAGGCACCAACCAAAAAAATGCATAAAGCATGTATTTCGAGTACATTTAAAGTCAGCTATTATCATCCACGATAAAGTAAGAGCTAAGAACAAGGAAGGATTCACTTTCAAATGGAGCCAGAGCAATTTTTAGAGCGTTGAACTTGATAAGTTTAAAATATTGTAACTGTTGGCATTCATCTCGTCAATGGTTGATATCATTTTAAACTTTGTTTCTTTCCCTAGGCTTCTATTTATACTGCGAAATTTTGAAGAGGAGTTTTTAAAATAGGAAATAAAGAAGCAGCCAGGGCGTTTTCCTGGGTGACGTTGCGTGGTGTTCTCCAACTTTTTTTTCCCTCTGTGATGCTTATAAAAATGCTCTATCTCATTCCATTGGCCTGTAATGCATGCATATGATGATGAGCCGTCTTTGAAAATTATATCGACGGCGTGAGTCTGCAATCACATATGGCGGTGTCAGAACATCTCCACCTCTATGTTATATTTTTAACGGAGAGAAAATTGACATTATTCCTTGAGGTTTATGCAGAATTTTCTTCGCACAGAGAAGAAAAATCACGGCAGTTTTAAATTATTGCCGCTGAGTAGTTTACCGTTTAAAAAATGAAGTATGACAAGAAGTCTGCGACGTCGTAAACCGAGTTATGTGATTGCCGATCGACTTACACCGTCGATATGTATAGAAAACCTTATGCGAATTTAGATACCTGTTGTTGAAGAAAGAAATTTACTCCTTGCAAATTGAAGTGCTTCGATCTTATCAGATTTGGATAAATGCTGTATGAGGTGACCAATGTGTGTGGAGAAGAGCTTTCGAAGTTGGTGCAACTGAGATAGCATAACCATTGGAATGAAGGAGCGCTTTGTTTCTTGTGCGTGTTTTCTCTGATTACGCCTCGCCGTTTCCATGTTAGCTCACCTGTTCACTAACTGTGTTTGCAGGTAAACCCACCTTATTTCGTGCCCCTTGTAGAATTGGTACCCGCTGAGTGGACCGACAGCTTAGTGGTAACGACGACCAGAGAATTGATGGAAGAAATTGGACAGAGCCCTGTCACCCTCACCAAAGAAGTACCCGGTTTCGCCCTCAACAGAATTCAGTAATGATACAAATAAATTAACTATTCCCTCAATGTAAAACTAACTGCCTAAGTTCTCCCTTCTTTTATGAACGCCTGCAAACATTATGATGGCTCCAATTATTTTGGGAGAAAAAAAAATCCACCCGAGCGATTTTAGATACAATACGCATTTTGAAATGTATTCAATTGGATAAGAAAAAAATGTATTTTACTCACAAGAAATGATTTTTGAGTCGAAATCGAAAGAAAACGGCAAATTCACTGGAATGGTTTCAATTTGATCAATCCCCCCCCCACCCCAAACTGTACCTCTTGATAGATTCTCCTTACTTAAGTTCGTTGACAATAGGAACTTAAAAAAAGGCAACTTACGATAGGAATAGAAGGAAAAAAGTTATTTTTGATTAATTTTTACACATTTTTTTTAAAAAAAAATTCAATCCTCATTATTTTTAAAATAATAAGAAAAATAAACAATTACGAGAATATTTTATGTGAACGAGTCACTTTTTTTCCTTTCATTTTATCTTATTTTTAATTATTCGTATTTTCTCATTTTTGGCATAGTTGCTGAACATATTTTTCTCTATTTTCCAGGTATGCTATTTTAAATGAATGTTGGCATTTGGTATCAGATGGCATACTCTCCGTCCAAGATGTTGACAGAGTCATGTCTGAAGGTCTTGGGATGCGGTACGCATTTTTAGGTCCATTGGAAACTGCTCATTTAAATGCTGAAGGTGAGAGCCTTTAATCATCAACTAACCTATTGCCATTGTTTAGAACTGAACATAATTTGAGCCAATGCTCCGAGCAAATAGTCGTTAAAAAAAAAAAAAAAAAAAAAAAAAAAAAAAAAAAAAAAACCTGGTGATTTTAGAATATATCAGGATCAGATATACACCAGCGTGAAATTGCGGAAATTCCGAGCAACAATGTCGAAAGTCGGGTAATTAAGTGTCAAAGGTAAAATTTTCCCATACCTGTCACCAAAAAACCAGAGAGAGGTCTTCATCCGTACTTTGGTTTTGTGCTACGGTTCCTAATTACTGATTTTTAACTGTACTTCATTTTACAGGGTTTTCAAATTACAGTCAACGGTATGCAGATTCAATGTTTGCGGTTTGTCAGACATTCAAACCTATTCCAAAACTGGAGGGTGAACAAGCAGAGCAAATTGCGAAGGAATTAGAACGAAGCATCCCGATCGGCCACCTTCCCGAAAAAAGACTTTGGCGCGACAATTGTCTGACGAAGCTGGCTCAACTCAAAAAACAGATCAAATCCGAAAGTAACTAGAAGCGGAAGCAGTTAACGAAATAACCTCTGAGAATGATGCAGTGGTCTCATAACACCGCAGCAATCAATTCATATTTATTTTTGGCTAAGATCATGCATATTTATAATGGTATCTTCAGGTTTTGAAATCAAGTCAAGAACTTTATTGGCTCAAGATTCCGATGGGAAAGACATTTAGGATTGTGCGAGCTCGTTTTTTATTGATTTGCAAGAATAAAAAAGAAATCGCGATGCGAGTCATATTCGAATAGACATTTGCTAGGTAGAACTATTCGAAAGCATTCTTGGCAAATCTGGTCAAAGAGATAAGAATTTGTTTATTACAGTCATCAAAATGTTTTTGTCCATTCAAGCTCATGCCGAGAATAGTAATTTTTGTAACACGTCCAACCAAGATAGACTATATCTTATTAATACTGCTTTTTTCTTCTCTCCTCTTTTCCTTTGTTTTTTTTTTAGATTTCTGAGTATGATAAGGGGAAAGCCCATGATCTAATGACTGTTACGCGATCTAAGATGATCATTGACATTGTTTTGTCACACCTAATTAAAATTGAACTGTTAGTGAACGCACCTCATTGATCAAACATTTACCATGAGTTATGGTTTCTCATGAGGGGTAGCTAATTTTTTGTTGCAATGCAGCCAAAAAAAGTCTCAACATAGATTTTTGTGCTGCCTTTCTGCCGTTTATGGCTCACAATTAATTGTGTAAAAATTAATCTAATAACGGTGACGTATTCATCGCTCGCTTTCGGATCACAAAACTGAACATTCTGTGCAAGTTTGTGAGGAAGGGGTGGAGAAATAAAGAGAAAACGTTCACATACCCATCACAACGATCCCTTATAGATTGAAAATATACCGTCTCGATTGTGTGGGTACGATATAACTTTGAATTTTATGCTATGAATTGTTGTCGTTCGTAAACCGATTGTCACACATATCTGATGGATTTTCTACATCTGAGTTTTTGAAAAAGTTTACCTGCCGGTAGCTTGGCTCATTGTAAAATTGAACATGATTTATTTTGTAAGTTTTAGACTTTCGTGTATCAACTCTAAGTATACTCTGATACCAAAGACGAATGTAAATATAGTAAAAATAAAAAAAAGTTTAAAAATTGATTATTGTGAAATATATGCATCTTAACTTTCCCTCTCAGCGGTTACCGATTCACATGCCGTAGCACAATATTGTACTTAGAATATAATCTATCTACTTTCGCTACAAAACGAATTTTTCCATGTTCTGCTGTAGTGCGGAAAAATGTCGTTTGGACATTCAGGCATCGCCTTTCTTCCCGCGAAACATGAATTTTTGACTAAAATTATTTTTATTTTACTTTATTTTCAGGTGTACTAAAATAGGTTGTTGAAAATATTCTTTGCGGAAATAAAAGGCACGTCAAAAATGACCTTAGTTTTTTCCAATCGAGCACAGATTTCTCCAAAAAATTGACAAGTTTTCTCCAGAAAATTTCGATCATTATTAGAACGACCGAACTTATTTAGAAAAACTAAAGCCATTTTCGGAATCAGCCGTAAAAGTATGCCCAGTGTCGGTTTCCAAATTTTTAGCAAATTGACCCAATCGATTCATTTTGAGGCATTGCACTGATAGATATTGATCATATCTCGTACAGTGATATGGATGAAATTCCGGCAAGTAGGCTCGATGTCTACTTACAGCTATGCTATGTTTTTTACCCACCTAAGATTCGGAGTCAAATTTCATACTCATTTCGTGAGTGGAGTTTTTTTTTAATACTCCATGCAATTAAGCCGTGTTTTTTGTGTTTTAAAATCGCTCTGTACCGTATTTTTTTTCTTCCTTTTTTTGGCAGTGACACGTGTCAGCTTGATGGCCCAACGCCTTTGCAGTCGCCATGGAGTTTTTCTAGTTGCAATTATGTAAAGAGTACACGACAGAAATTCTGAACATCTTTTACCGCGATTTTTAGCCCACGGGTGACATATCAAGAAGGAATTTTAAATAGTAAGAAGTGTATGAGTCTGGCAACACTGAGAAAATCTGCGTCAATGCTATTTTTTAGTTCACTAGGTGTTCCTCTAATTTTGTCTAATTCGAGATAAAAACTACGCGAAGTATCCTACTTGACTAAAATATTTTTACGCGTTCCTTTTTCCTTTCTTTTTTTCCGAGGGAAAAAGGAATATTTTAGATATTTAACCCTTGTCTGGCGGACTTGGGTCCTGTAAGCCTGTCAAGATTTCCTTTTTTTTGGTGTACCATTTTTTATCCACTATAGTTCCCATCTGCGTCACACGTGCTACCAGGGTACTCCAGGGGGTCTTCTAAAAGCCTTACAATTTTGGAATCAAAATGAAAACGCCGTAACATGCAATGATTTTGGAATCAAAATGAGAACGCCGTAACATGCAATAATTTTGGAATCAAAATGAGAACGCCGTAACATGCAATATTTTGGAAATTTGTCCATTTGCTCAGATGTATTTTGAGCATCACTATCTCATCATCGGCAAGACTAAAATTGTAAAAACAATAAAATCTCAGTTATTTCCGAGAGATTATGACAATGCCGGTGTAGATAAAAACATTGAAATAGGAATGTCACAAAAACTCCTATCAATTTGATGGGTGGGCAACTTGTTACCCGGTCCAGACAGGTCCCTGGCCCTGATAACATATTCCTTCTGAAATAAGTTAAATCATTTATGATAGCAAACTTATACCCCTGCACTGAAAATTCCTTCGGGTTGAGGTATGTGGATGAAAGATGGCTCTGACCTCAAGCAACTATTTTAACACTCCAGTGATCAGATTGCATACCCAACGAAATGAAGGAACTTTGTGATTGCGGTGATCTTTAGCGACGTTTCAATATACCAAAAAAATGATATGCCTCCGTGACCCAAGTAGCAGTGATCGAGAAAAAAATATATTTTATAGGTTGATTATCGCGATTATATCGGTGGCAATTTATCGCGATATTACCGAATAAAACGCAATTTTTTGTTCGATAAAATCGCGATCAATTTTCGTCGATAAAATCGAGATTAAATCGCCATGTATCGCGATTTTCGTTTCGATTATATCGCGATAAATTGCCGGGCGATAAAATTGCGATTTTATCGCAACAAGATCAAAGATAATCGCTCAGATGTTGATGATCCTAGCGATTTTATTGCCAATAAAATCGCAATACATCGCGATTTTCTCGTTGAAAAATGCTACTTGGGGATAGGGCAGTCGTAAGGGCGGCAAAATCTCGATGTCCCAGGAGCGGCAAGCTCGTGACTCTAACAATCGGGTTGTTAGGGGGTGCGCGAGGTGAGTACTTGCTTGATCGACTTGTGGGAGCTGTGAGGTTCGATCAGAGATATACCTCTGCTCAATGTTTAAATTAAATATCCTGGGACATCCTTCATTTGAGGGAGGCTATGACGTGCTGCCAAGACAAAGAGTCTAAGGCATTTCTACATCAAGAGTTCGAATCGTAAGTGCATTTCTGCCAGTGGCGTGGCGTGAATTACTATAAATCGATTGTTATGCCATTTAAATCTAGGGTGAAGAATCGATTATGAAGATGTTCGCTGCGAACACCCTGTTTATCGATCCTTTTCCATAGGATCCGGTTCCATAGGTTCCAATCGCTATATCGCAAAGCACGCCACGCCACTGATTTCTGCCGTTGACGTCATATCTCTCTGCTACGAAGTCCTTAACACCAACCGATTGCGGTGAACGCACGGGTCACAAGACGGAATGTTGGTTTTTTAGCCAACGTGCCTAAAAAGTTCAGCTTAAAGCTGAAATCTCATTAGAGAGGGAAAAAGCTCACACGCAAGCATAATTTTCCCTCAAAGAGATATGCTGTTTGGAGCAACACTAGTTACGTCCATTCAGGAAAACAACTGCAGACGCGTTTGTGTGTGAGCTTTTTCCCTCTCTGATGAGATTTACGCTTTAAGCTTTAAGCTCACTATTTACGCACGTTGGCTAAAAAACCCCAACATCCCATCAAAGTCCTTAACTCTATTTATTTCATGCAACGTAGAGCAGCGGCCGGCTCCAAACACAAACCAGTTCTCACTAAGATGGTCCATGCCAGGGAAAGCCGGGAAAGCAATTCAGTAGACAAACAGGCCTAAATTTTCTTTTTTCTTGTTTTTTTGAAAGGCTTAGGTAGGAGAATTGTACCGCGTTTAAAAGAAAGGAATCAAGTCACATCAGCCAATGCCATAAATTTAACGAGGCAATTTAATTTTTCACAATAGAACGTTTGTGCGGCTTCCTATGAAAATATTATGGAATTTGCCTCGCAAGAAAATTCAAGAAAAATTCAACAAAATTGCAAAGAAAAAAGTGGAAAAAATTCACTGAACTTTGTGCAAAAATCGAGCCAGAGACCTTTCTGGACCTCACTCACGAACAAGCTCTTTTAACTTCAGCTCATCCTGAGAGAAAGGAACAATTCCTCCTCAATAGGGAGTTGGTGCCAGGAGATTAAGGGATTGCAGCCAGGAACAGACTACATCTTAGAGCCCTGCCTCGGAAAATTGCTCGCTACTGAGATTTGGGGGATTATTATTTTACTTCGCATTATTTCCTATGCTTTGCCTCATTAGTCTAACTCCAATCTCCCAACAGGTTTTCCCAACACCGATTTGAATTTATTGTGTGACTTAAAAATCAAATAGTAACAGGGCCCTCAACAAAAAAATACACGGAGGAATATTTGAACGAACAATTCACTTTAATGCAAAATTAGTAAACTTAAAGTAAAATAAAATAAAAAATAAACAGATAATGAAGATTATACAAAGATTAAAAATAGGAGAAAAGCGATCAAAAGAATGATCGGCAATTTTGATCGCGGAACAACGAAACTTTGAATAATTGGCCCAAATAATGTATATTGGTTTTTAACATCAAAATCGGATATTTTGTTGCTCTGAACACTAGAGTCTCATGGACAGAATGTTTGCTGTAGTCGTTCAGCATTTTTCACTTGTTGTCTTCCAAATGCTGTGCCTTGAAAATAATCATGAGCTCATAAAAATCTGCACGTACTTTATTCCCTTGAAATTGATGTAAGAAACGAATTAATAAATTCTAAGACAACAGAAATTTTCCCATAATCGATTTTAGTATTTTTACTTTTTTGGGGGGGGGGGAGTGGCTTTTTATTTCTTACACACACACACGCCTTTGGACATGTCTAGATAAAGGTCAGGCCCGGCGAAGGCCTCCCTATTACATAAATTCTAGCGCAAAGACTTATGTTCTACCTATTAATAAATAAAAAGGACACAAAAACTTGCTGTAGTTGAACTTTTTTTATATTTTCTTTTTTAAAAAATTATCTCTTAAATGGATGCCAATATTGAACCATCCATAATAAACTCATCTCATTTGGATGCCAGCCGGCAACCTCCTCTTATGCATTAACAGTTTGCGAACTACTAGAAAACACAAAACTGAGATAAATAAGGTACAATTGTTTAAAGTATCGTTTAATGAAAACTAAAGAACCACGAACGCCCCGAAATTCCACAGCAAATTAAATATTTGAAGCTTTAAAGTTAATACTTTAGAAAACATTACATTGAAAAAAAAAACACAAATACACGTGCTTAAATCATCTCAAATTATAGTTCTCTTTGGATCGTAATATATGTTTTACCCTTTTGGCTTAATGATCAACTTATTTGCTCAGAACTTCCTTCTTTGGATCCTCAGGATTGTTTTCGTCTAAAAACTAGGATCCAAATTTACAATCCAACTTGCAAAAAATTTTTCTCCTGAATAAATAGTCATTGTGCGGAAAGGCCACTTTTTTCTTAATGATTATATTTAATAGGATTCCACACTAAAATATATATAAAAAACATTTCTCATTAAAAAATTGTATCTATAAATGTTTTTCTCCTATATTAAGTTTCATCCCCACTGTTGAATTGTCAAAAAAGTAAGAAATGCCGTGCAAATCGGCAATCAACAATACGGTAACGTCGAATTAATTGGACGCCATACATTTAAAGGAAACTTATCGAACACTAATGACTGATTTTAGATGGCTATCTTCGACATTTGTAAAAAAAAAAAACAAACAAACAAACAATGGAGCGCAAATTTATAA